CACCTGTCTAGCCGGGATGGCTGGGCAAGCTTCATTTCAACTTGACTGCACGGTTGGTGCGGTGGCTGGGCAACTGGCTGCCGTGCAACGTGTCGCGGGTTTTATTCCCGCACGGAACAACACTTTGTGTGATCCACAATTTGTTGTTTCGGGTCTGGGTGTGATGTGTATGTGAAATTGAATGTTTGCAAACGCACCCACGACACAGGAGAAAATCCGAGTGCGGGCCATCGTTTTTTTTTTTTTTCAAATAAACTTCCCTCACAAGAAAGGGACTTGTCTACCACAGACGAGGCCCTACAGGGCCGATGTTCAGCCGGGGTTGCGGTGCTAGCGCAATAAGGTACCATGGCCCCGGCCTAAAGCAGAAGAAGAAACGGGGAGTTTTAGTCAGTAAGCGTTTGACAATCCGTTTCGCCATACCCTGGTCGAGTTCGTCAGTGTAGCTAGGTGCTCTTTCCAAATTATAGTTTGGAATGAAGAAGAACGAGCAACGTATATAATTTCATAGTTTTTTTTTGTGTAAATGATCGGCAAACGAGCAGACGGATTACCTGATGGTAAGCAATCAGTGCCGCCCATGGACACTCGCAAAGGAGTAGTTAAGAGTGCGTTGCCGACCTTTTAGGGATTAGGCATTTGGAGATTTAGGGATTGAGGAGGGATTGGGGGAGGGGAAGGATTGGGCCTCCGGTAACGTCACTCACACGGCGAAACACAACGTTGTGGTTATTTCACGCCGGTTTTCTGTGAGGCCGTGGTATCAATCCGGTCGAGCCGTCCCATTCGTGCCGAAGCATGGCTCTCCCACACTTAAACACTCCACGCTACTGATAAAATGTAAAAAAAATCACTGCAGAAATCGCAAATAAAAACCCCGTAGATACTTTAGCCAACAGGCGACGGCTCCTAATGGGTATTAGGAGCGGTCGCCTGAAGCCGCTAGACTGTAGCTAGAAGTATAGCATTAACTAGAACATAGCTAAATGCCTTGATATCTATATAGGTATCATCATCTATTTTAATCCTTAATTCTCCAACAACTTCTGAACTTTAAATTCAAATGTAAATAAGTTCATTCGTTCTCATTGAATGGTTAACCTCCATTCATTCATTCGCTCCCGGTTTACATGACCCAGTGAAGCGAGGCGGCCTTGGGCCGTTCGATCAAATAATTTATTAGCAACATTCTGTCGGCTATTTATAGTAAATATATACATACATACATTTGTTATTAGGTAATTGTTGCCTAGTTCAGTGTGGTCGAAATTAGATCATTTGTACCTATTTTATAACAATTCCTTTCAGATTTTTATACAGATTAGGTACTAGCTTTTGCCCGCGACTCCGTTCGCGTGGACTTCCTGTAGATTATTGGTATAAAAATTATCCTATGTCCTTTCTCGAGTTCCAAACTATGTCTGTACCAAATTTCACAGACATCGATTCAGTAGTTTAAGCGTGAAGAAAAGACAGACAGACGGAGTTACTTTCGCATTTATGATATTAGTTTGGAAGTTTGGATTAAAGCCATATTAACACACATATCACATTGATCACCAGGATGATCAAATGAACAAATTGTGGAATAAACAAATAATGTATTATAATTGTTTTCTAAATAACCAAATTTTTAAGGATAAAAATTTCATGCAAAATGCCTGTTAAAGCATCCACGATATAAGATAAAATGTTAATATGGAATAATGTTTTCAAAATACGCTACGGCCTCACAGAACACCGGCTTCGAAAAACCACAGCGTTGTGTTTCGCCGTGTGGGTGAGGTTACCGGACGCCCAATCCTAGGTGATTAGGGGAGGGTAATGAATATCGTCCCCTAATCGCCAAAATTTCGAAACCGTGATTGCCAAAAGGCTGACAAGGCACTTGTAACGCGTCTGATGTTGCGGGAGTCCTTACTATCAGGTTATACGTCTGCTCTTTGTAGTCCTATCACATAAAATAAATCAAACGTCTGTTTGTTACCAAGCAAGTATTGTCGCTAACAAATACATTGGTTCGGTACACCTGCACCGACACAGGGAGATGGTGATCTTTAATGACCCGGCTCCCAATTGGCGCAACGGCAAAGTATCCGTACGCCAGCTCAGGGTCGTAGATTCAATTCCCACATCCGGACCCACCGGAGTGGGCCACTCATCTTCCGCGAGTAGATTGGACTAATGCTGTATGTGTCATTGGGGAATTTCTTACGAATCGTTACTGTAAACCAGGGCACTCTGTTTAAATAAAAATGAATTGCATAAATATTGTAGGTAGATACTAATATTATAAACGAAAAAGTTTGTAATTATGAACATTTTAGAACGAGCAAATAGCTTTTTTTTGATACTCTTTGTATTCTTGTTTTGTTTATTATTTTATTATTGTATTTATAAATATCTGTGTTCTTATTATGTATTTTTTATATACTTGTATTTGTGTGCATATTTGTCGAATAAATGTGTTTCCTTTCTTTCTTCACCAGGGGACAGACCGATAGACTCACACAGTTAAACTTTTTGATTATTTTTTGTTTGACGTTCAAAAGTGCCTATAATAGTCTATTTGAAATTAATGGTTTGACTTTGGCGGATGTTTGTTACTATTTACGTAAAAACTTCTGAACGGATCCGATTGATATTTGGCACAGAGATAGATTATATTCTGCTTTATCACATAGGCTCCTGGTACTGTGGGTGAAGCCGACTGCAGAAACCTTATGGTATTAACAATCTTGTAGTAGTTTGCTGACGGCAACACAAATGATATGATAGAATATTGTTTTCTTATTATTTTCTTTAGGCGTCACGTTAGTTTAGGAAATTTTAGCCTTATTTCGTAAACTTTATATTAAACTGAAATTTCTAAGGTTCTACTTTTAGAAGATAAGTTTTGTTTAATTATGGTTTTCGGAACTTTTGACGAATTTGAGAAATGTGGATGGAGTAACGGCAAAGTATGATAACATTTTCTGTTTAATTTTAAGTATACTTAGTTTTCTTTTTCTCATGCGGGTCTTCCCATATCTTGAAGTCTTTGGGCAGTTCGAATTTTAAATTGTCATGGACACCACAGACAGAATGAATGAGTGTATAATTAAATGAATGAATGAATGACTGAATATAATCTTTAACACTTTCTACAATTACAGTTAGGTATAAGATCTATGCTCCTGCAGGAAAACTGGCGCCATTGTTGTTTCAATACGAATTATATAAAGTTAAAACTATTGAAATATATGAAAACTTTTAGAAATGTAATCCTGGCCAACACTTCCCGGAAAATACAAGATGGGAACATTACCAAAATTCTCCAGACACGAGACAACATCTATATAAATGTCATAAAAACATTAATTTGTGCGCGGTGAAATGCGTCCAGACTATTTCAGTGCGCCATTTTAAAATTAGCCATCTTTCGTCATACGTATCAGCTGGTTCATTGATAACTGTGCCCTATTTTTTGCTGGTTAAGGTTGATTATTCGTTGGTTGTTATGAAGGTTAGGAAGAGCGCTTGTTATGTACCAGTGTTGGCTTAGGAACAGTTTGTTACCTGTTCTTTGCAAAGCATACGTCGACGCTTGTGTTGTGTTTCGCTGTCTGAGGGAGATTATCGCAGGTCCTCCCCTCCTAAAATTCCTCAATCGTCCAAATCCTAACCCCCAAATGGCTGTCTACTCACTTGTAACTCCACGTTATTGTCTATAGAAGGGGCTGATTGCTTTCTTTGTGTGTTAAACTTTTCCGTTTACCAAAAAAGCTATCAAATTTTTGTTCAATTTTTTTTTTGATATCCTTGTAGTCTTGGTGCTAGGCAGTTGCGTTCTTTACATATAAGTCAGGTCCTGGTGGCCCCTACATCCACTACCACCACATCAACAAACTAACTATCTAACTCCAAATTTTTGAAAGTAAACAGTCCACAAAATCGTAATGAGTAATTGGTTTTTCTTCTCATTTTGTTGTTATAACGGAATTGGCACAAAGCCAATGACGTAAGTGAGTAGCGTACATATGTAATGTATATATGTATATACATACATTGTACATAATATACATCACGATTGTTTATACTAGAGGGTAGGTTCATCTATACTAATATTATAAAGAGGTAAAATTTGTAAGTTTGTATGTAGAGGGTAATCTTTGGAACCGCCGGTCGGATTGCCAAAATTCTTTCAGTGATAGATAGCTACGATGTTCCTGAGTGCTATAGGCTATAAAACATCACGCTGCGGTCAAATGGAGCAGCAGTTATACAAAAATAGAAATCTTACTTATATTTTAAAATCGATGTATGTTCAAAATCATCTAGTTACTACACTGCCACTAACAAAAAATTGTCAGTACTATAGGATGGATGTTTAGTGCACTTTTACTTGAAAACCACTGAATGGATTTTGATAGAAATTAGCACAGAGATATATTATCGTCTGGAATAACACAAATTATGGTACTTTTCATTCAGTTATTTTGAGCGAAGCCGCTAGCAGGAACTAATTCGTCATAATATTATAATTAGGAAGTGTCGGTCTGTCAGTGACTAATACTGAACTAAACTAAACTAAACTTATCATTTAGGATCATTAGGATCACTACTGTTATAAGCAGGGGCTATTATGTATGCCCAGCTTATCGTAATGACCATTAGGATTATTAAAATAACCTGGGTATCAAACTAAAAAGTTTCAAAATTGGGAGTCCGTCAAAAATGGTAGCAAGAATTCTTAAATGACCTAATACTTATATCTGCGAAATTCAGACCGTTAGCAAAGTTTGAGAATATAAGAGTTATGTCAGAAGTCCATTTAAGAATTATCTTGCTTCATTAGTGGTAATACTCATCTTGGCTCATCTCTGCATCACCAAAGACTCGACTGGTAGAAAATGCCTAAAGCATTAAGAATGCCTTTGTGCACATTGTGTACAAAGTTTTAATAAATAAAGACTCAGACTGATTCTGTGTATACTCACGTTTAACTCCTTGTCTTTCAGGCATAGTGCTGACCTTCTACCTGGTGTTCTACGCAGTCCTGGGGCTCATGTTCGCGCTCTGCATGGGTGGATTGTACCTCACCTTAGAACCCAACAGACCCACATACCTTCTGGAGGAGTCACTCATTGGTGAGTTGAATCTGTAGATTATTTGGTTATAAGCGTCGCGTGTAAAAATGTGGAGGAGGCCCGGAGGGTAAGGAGCCCGCTTCTCATGCATGAGGGTGTGAGTTAAAGTTATATGTACTTTCTATGATTATTTAAACACCACTGACATACGGTGAACGTCAACATCGTGAGGAAACCTGGACTTGTAATTTCTTATTATAAGTTTGAAATCGCCAACCCGCATTGAGCAAGCGTGGTGATCAATGCTCTAACCTTCTCCGTGTGAGAAGAGGCCTTTGCTCAGCAGTGGGCACTGATGATGATGAAGCTTCGTAGAGGTAAAAGATTCCTATAAAGCATTCGTGATAATGGTTGTGTAGGTACTAGATTCAATGGTACATACAATTCTAGTTTGACTGTTATGAACTTAAATCTGATATATTTTTTTCAAAAGTTTTCTGTCCTTATGTGGGGTGTTAAGGATTAAAGTTATGCTAAGAATCATACATTAGCTCATACAATAAGGGAGAAATGTCACTGGAAACAATTCGATAGCCGTTAGACCACATTTAACTGAAATATGTAGATAAATATGCAGAAAAGTTACGTTCAGCCAGACTATCATGGCTTATTTAGGATTATCATCATGACTCTCTTGACTATAACCACAATCTGTATTCGTAATTTTCCACCATTGCGCCATCGAGTAGACGTTTTACTAGCAGCTCGCAGTACGTAGGCTATGTAGTACGGCTACGGCTATTAACGTATAGCGGCTGGGCTATAAATCGTAAGGAGGTCGCCTCACATTTAGCCGTCGGTCAGGTCGGGCGGAGTTCCGCGCTTTTTATTACGTAATGGGTTTCCTACGGCGGTTCCTTCGCGGGGGACAAATGACTGGGCAAGCTGTGGGATGCTAGGATAATTATGGACATAGATATCTTGACAATCCTAGAGCATCATATTCTAAAATTATTATTACCATATTGTAGTGTTAGCAGTAGCAGTAGACTGGAACATTTGCGTTGTGGCTTAGCGAACACGGCTGAAATCCAGTGGTGTAAGGTGTAATGGTTTCGTCTTTACTAATATTATAAAGAGCTACATCATTGTTAGCTTGTATGTAGGGGGTAATGATTGGAACAGCTAGATTTCCAAAATTCTTACACCGATAGATAGCTAAAATTTTTCTAAATGCTATTTATTGGCTATATTTTATTTGTATACGGAAAGTAATTTCCTCGGAACGCGGGTGAAACTGCGCTAAACAGCTAGTCGCATATTGAAAAAATATGACATGTGTGCCCTTTACCAATTATAATATTTATAGTTCAGAATCTCGCTCAGGCTGGAGATGTGTTGAGAGAATTTAACAATGCACCAGCCCAGAAGAATCTAGCTAGGACCATGGTTATTAGAAGAAAATCAAGCTACTAATCTATAGGGGGATAAGCACAGCACAAAGTGAATGTAACGTCAAGTTTTTGCAACATTTATTATATTTTATGTTGACCTTAATAACTTTAGTTATCGCTAGAAGTAACACGTAGCGTTGGATGAAGGTAGGATGTAAACAATAGAGCATTTTAATTATTCCAGCCACCGCCGAGTTATGCGCATGCGCATCCTGTCCTGTATAAATATTGTACATTGTATTCTGGGATATTATGTCAACGATGTGTTAAATAAACATGTATTTCCTTTGAGTAGGAATGTGTGTATTTTCAAATATAGTCTTAATTTCCTGCACACTACAATGATATTTTGACTGTACGGTTGGCGCGGTGGCTGGGCAACTGGCTGCAGCGCGATGTATCGCGGTTTCGATTCCCGCACGAAAGAACTCTTTGTGAGATCCATAAATTGTTGTTTCTGGTCTGGCTGTGATGTGCATGTGATCTACGATTCAGGAGACAATCCTTGTGTAGTTCAATGTTTTTTATAAGAGGTTTGAACTCCACAATTTTATTTATTTTATTTAATGTTTACTTTTGTATTATTTATTAACACTATCATTAATTTACAATTAAATATCTCCAATCACATATTACTAAAAAATATTTTTTCTATACCTACTCCTCACTATTATATCACATAATTATATTTATTTAATAAATAAAAGACTCACCGTCACCGCTCGAGTTTTGTTGCGAGATTTGATCGCCGATTATCATAGCATTTGTTCAGTTTCACGTCACGCAAAATTATGGTTTTTCCCTTAATATAACTCAATACCATCGTAGTGATGGTGCAAATGAGCGTTAAACTGTGCAGCAGTATTTAATTAACCAATGCGACACCCTGCTCACCCGCAACTTCCGAGATTATTGTTGCGATTTTATGGTGTATTATTTTGCAAGTACCAACATTAAATTATGACATATACTTACCTATATTAAAAAATATACTATTGAACATGAAATAACTAAATCTTAAAAGATAATTTATATTTAACATATCACTATTTTATTTTTATTTTATTTTATTTGAGACTTCATGCACAAAACACTGTACATAGGCGGACTTAATGCAATGAGCATTCTCTACCAGTCTACCTTTGGGTGATGCAGAGATAATCTGGTGGCAGGTGCAAGAAGCAAGCAAATTGAGTTAAATATACCAAGCATATATATAAAATCATATATGATACACTTTACATACATACATAATATATACATACATTATAATACATATTTATAAGGCAGTAAACATATATATATACGTATATGCAGTCATCGTCACGATGATTCCCCCAACCTCTTCAAAAGAAGCTCCCGAACTCTCTGCTTGAAAGACAGCCGACTAGTCAAGATCCTGATATCGGGGGGTAGCGCATTCCACAGAAGAATAGCCTGAACGAAGAATGAGGAGTGGAGAAATTTTGAGTGATGAGTTGGACAGTTGAGGAGACGATTGTTAGAAGAGCGAAGATATTTATTGTGGTTTGCGCATGTGTATTGGAAGTAAGAGGACATATAGCTAGGTGGGCAAGGCGAGTTAAGAAAGGAAAATAAAGTGGTTAACGCCCTTTGCTCCCTACGTTGGCGTATGGGCAACCACTTTAATTGCAACCGATGTGCAGAAACATGATCATATTTGCGCAGGTTGAAAACGAAACGAATGCAGTTATTCAGAAGTCGGTCGAGTTTATTGAGGAGATCTGCATTCAGGTCATAGTAACAAACATCAGCATAATCTATTATAGGGAACAACAAGGTCTGTACAAGCATCGTCTTGGTGACGGTCGGAAGCAAGTTTTTCACGCGGTAAAGGGCCCGCAGCGACCCGGTCACTTTTTTGCACACGTTAGCGACTTGTGTATGCCAGTTTAAATTTCTGTCAATATGTAAGCCTAGATCTTTAACATCGTTGCTGTAAGGAACGATCGCACCGTCGAAAAGGATGGCCGGCAGAGATGCACCGTCAACCCTACCTAGCGATCGAGAGCTTCCGATGATGATAGCCTGGCACTTATTCGGGTTTACCGCAATGCCAAACCGAGCTGACCAGGCGCTAATGGTGGCTAAGTCATCATTAATATTTGAGATAGCATCGGCCAAGCAGTCTACGCCAGCCTGACAGTACAGCTGCAAGTCATCTGCATACAGATGGTACGCACACCGAAGGTCAGAAGTGATGAGATTGATAAAAATAGAAAACAAGAGTGGTGATAGTATGCCGCCTTGAGGAACGCCAGCTTTTAATTCGCACCAGCCTGATGATATATCACCATGCTTGACCGACTGCTGACGCTCCTGAAGATAAGAAGAAAACCATGCCAGAGACCCACCAGAGATAGCAAGATGGGATAGGATGGCTAAAAGGATATCGTGACTGACCATATTGAAGGCATTTGAGAAATCAACCAAAACCAGGACTGTGGCTTTAGCGTCCTCAAGGCCAACTCTAATATCGCCAGTCAGTTTAAGGAGGGCGGAAACAGTGCTGTGGCCTGGTCTGAAGCCCGATTGGAATGGACTAACAAGTGAATTCCTGTAAATGAAATCAGATAGTTGTTTGTGTACACAGGCCTCAAGCACCTTGGACAGGAAAGGAAGTATGGATATAGGACGGAACTGACTGGGAAGAGTGGGAGTAGAGACTTTGGGAAGAGGGCGGACAAAGGCTTTACGCCAAAGGGATGGGAAAGATCCGGAATACAGGGAAAAATTGATAATGTGGGTTATAGCCGGTAGGAGGTGATCTAGAACAGTTATAATCATGTTACGAGAAATGTTATCACATCCTACCGCTTTTGATTTAATTGAAAGGATAATCCTACCAATCTCTGCCGAATCAACTGGAATGAAGTGGAAAGGAGTAGCAATGTTGGGACGCGTAAGACCAGAGATGAACCTTAGAGTATCTTGTTTCACTAGACGATCTATGGTAGGTACTGTAGAGAAATGATGATTTAGATCGTCTAAGCGAATTGAGCTGGGTAGTTCTATATGGTGCATTTTGCCGATACCTAAAGTCCCAAGAAATTTCCAAATATCGGCAGAAGAAGCAGAAGAGATGTTTTCGAGAACATGGCGGCGTTTAGCGTTACGCACCATCTGGTTACAGCGATTTCTTGCTAGCTTAAAAGCTGCCCAGCTTTCATCGGTGCGATCCCTCTTGTGTTTGCGGAAAGCGCGGTCCCTACGTCGCATAGCCATTTTAATACTATTTAATTATATTTTAGTATTATAATATTTTTATCTATCTCTTTTCTTTTATTTTCCCCTGGACTGATCACTAGAACCCGCAAGTCTTAAAACTAAGATATTTTAACTCTAATTACTAGTAACTAGTAGATATGTGTTGCATTCGTCCGTGCGTCACTGCAGGGGTGCCAACTGAAAATCAGTGTTGGGTGCTCCGTGCCCAGCTTTTGCTGAGTTGGCGACCCATTCGGATTGGGCATGTCCGCCAACCCAGGTTTGTATTATTGTACTTTGTTAGGCTGTTTTTACGTTATTGTTTTGATTAATTTTATTTTTATTTTATTTTATTGTCCTGTTATTTCAAACTTTTATTGTGTTGTTTTTTTTTTATTGTTGTATTTTCTTTTTATTGTTCTTGGCCTTCATGTCTGGGTCCGAATAAAAACAGTTTTCTTTCTTTCTTTCTTCTTTCACAAAGAAGTGCCTTCGATGATATTTTTTGGGCTCGTACAAAGTTGTCTCAACTATTGCTGCATAAATCGTTGTTATGTTAGATACAAGTTGGTATAAAATTCACACATAGGAAGAATGTAATAATATTTTCATTATTAAAATTTACTGAATCGACGTTTTATTAGGAACTAGACGTAAGTAGTTATGGTGACTGAGAAAATTTCAATTAACAGATTCTATCTCATACACACAAATATACTTTCAGGAGCCAACCCTGGCGTGGCATCTCGTCCCCTGTACGAGACGGCGGTGCTGAAGTACAGCGTGGAGAACTCCTCGGAGTACCAGCTCTACGTGGATCAACTCAACGAATTCTTTAACTGTAAGTACTGTTGTCCAATGTCTTCAACGTTACATCATGAGGGAGTGCCCACCAGGTGGTTTTGTTGGTTCAATTCCTGAGGTTTCTGTAGGAACTGTTATATAGGTACTAGATGTGGATATGATGAAGAAGAGTGACTATGGAGATTCTGTTTCTTCTCCATAAAAATCCACACTTTGGAACAAGCAAAGAGCGTCACTAAAAGGACTCACCGACAGTCACCGACATACTGCTATTTTTCTTTTCATCTTTGTATGACGTTCAAAAGAGCCTATAATTCTTTGAATAAAATGATTTGACATTTATTTTAAACTTTGGTGAATTGCATTGTTTTCGTACAATGAAAAAAAATTGTAGTTCAGATATTTTTCTTAAATAAACAAAATATAATAAAAACATTATGCATTGCCACTATAATTTGATTTTATTGGAACTACCTACATTCTGTATTTAACTTTTCATCATATTTTTTTCAATTAATTTATTACTTCACACTTTTTACCTTTGCTATTAAGTTCAGTAAGAAAATGCTTCATAGATCAAACACCGCGCCCTCGGGCGTGGTGCCACGGAGCAATTTGTTCATGTATGGGTTTCAGCCAGCCATTGTGCCAATCAATAGCTTAACGGAAAACTACTACACCATGTATACACCATAGACATACAAAGGGAAAGAATAGACAACCTTCATGATTGTGATGTGTTAATGGAATAGACTGGGCTATGGGTGTATGGGGATAGATACCTAATGGTTTTAGATGTCCTTCGAGGCTACAGAACAAAGTTTAAGCGTTTATCCACCACGTTTTTTTTTTGTGAGGGGAAAATCATCAAATGACTTCTCCCGCCCAGGGCCGGGCGGGAGGGAGTGTCAGACTCTTACTGACTAAAAACCCCCCTGTTCCTTCTCCTGCTCTATGCCGAGGTCGCGGTTCCTCATTGCGCTTACCCCGCAACACCGGTTGAACATCAGCTCTTTAGGGCCCCGTCTGTGGTGGTCTAATGGCTCTTTGAGGCGCGCGCGGAACGCTACGCGCCATACGTTCGGGCCTGGTTCTGGTCGGGCGACGAGCTGCCCTTACTCGCCGACCGCAGACCCGTGTTATCCACCACGTGGCTTTAACACCAATTTTAGCAAAGATTGATCTAAACGAATAGTATAGGATAACATAATTTTAATAAAAAGACATGAATAGTACTTAGGTACTGTTAGTTTATTATTATGATTGTTTAGACGCCATTGACATACGGTGAAGGAAAACATCGTGAAGAAACCTGGACTTATAATTTGTAATTATAATTTTGAAATTACCGATATGCCTTGAATATTGTTGTGTTTAGCCGTGTGACTGAGGTTACCGGAGGCCCAATCCTTCCCCTATCCTAATCCCTCCATTCCCAAAATTTCGAAATCTCTAATCCCCAAAAGGTCAGCAACGCACTCGTAACTCCTCTGTCGTTGTCCTTGGGCGGCGCTGATTGCTTACCATAAGGTAATGCGACTGCGTTTGCCGACCTATAAAATAAAAAGAATAAGCGTGGTGATTAAGTTAATGCTCAAAGCTTCTCTACGTGAGAAGACGCCTTTGCTTAGCAGTAAGCACTTATAGCCTGATGTTGTTGTTTGTTTAAAAAGTAATTTTCTTGGTACAGATTACAGCAGTGAACGCTGGTACACGACCCAGAAGGAGTGCAGGGCTGAGGATCAGTACGGTTTCCCTGATAACCCCTGCATCTTCGTCAAAGTCAACAAGGTGGGTCATAATCATCGAAAACGTTGTTTAATGGGATAGGGCAGCAAACGAGCAGAGGGATTACCTGATGGTAAGCAGTCAGCGCCATTCATGGACTTCCGCAACAACCAAGGAGTTTTTTTTTGAGAGGGGACAATTCATCTATCGATTATTTTCGCCCAGGGTGAGGCGACAAGGAGTATCAGATTCTTACTGACTAAAAACCACCTCCGTACCTTCTCCTGCTCAAGGGCGAGGCCGCTTGCCCCGCAGCCCCGGATTAACCCTATTGGGTCTCATCAATGGACTAAAATGGGTTGAGATGGTCTTCTATAGCTACAAACCCAGATCTTTTAATACAGTTTCGTCTAGTAATAAAGATGTGTACCACGTTTCTTCCAGATAATTGACTGGAAACCAGAATATTACGAAGCGTCAGACCTGCCCGCAGACATGCCTGAGGACCTGGTGGAACACATCCAGGGACTAGATCCTAGTAAGGTGAGGGTCCTAAATTAGAGCATTAGTTAAGTTACAAGGTGAAAATGATTATCTTTAGCTAGAATAACTTCAAGCTTAAGGGGAGGGGGTGAGTCTTTAATGGAGCATTGTAAAGTCTTTGTTTAGGTGGATTCCAAAGTCGGCCGACTAGAGGGACCATCTGATGATAAGCAAACTTCCACCCATGGAATCCCGCAATATCAAAGGAGTATGTGCGTTGCTGGCCTTTTGGGGATTGGGATTGGGGGTTGGGGAAGGGGAGGGAGAGAACTGAGCATCTGGTAACATTGCCGGAGACTCAGTTGTCGCCCTTGTCATCATCATCATCATCATCATCATTATCATCGTGTGGGTGATGTCACGCTTGAACCACAACTCAAGCGTATTTTCACGCCACTTAACTCTCTAGCTTTCGATTCTATTCTAATTGATTGAAAAAAGAAATGCAGTTTTTTAAGTTTTTTTTTAGTTTACTAATTCCATCATAAGACACTGGTCGTTATCCCAAATACTTTTACGTAAATGTTTTTCAAATTCGATCCTAATATTCAATGACTTAAAGTTCCTTATTATTTCCCAGCAAAAGCAAGTTTGGATATCTTGCGAGGAGGAGAAGGCGAATGACACGAAGCTGGAATATCCATGGGGAAGAGGCATGCCAAAGGAATATTATCCTTATGTATATGGCAATAAGGAGTATAAGAGCCCACTTGTCGCGGTGCGGTTGTCTCATCCGGGTAATTATTATTATCTTATATTTGAACTCATTTTAAACTTTGCTTAGTTTTTATAAAATAATGAAATCAATTGTATTTTTTTTTTATGTTAGGTCGGCAAACGTTCGATTACCTGATGGTAAGCAATCACCGCCGCTCATGGGTACCCGCAATAACAGAGGAGATGTGAGTGTGTTGCCGACCTTTTGGGGATTAGGGTTTTGGAGATTTAGGGATTGCGGGAGGGGAAGGATTGGGCCTCCGGTACCCTCGCCTCGATCACACGGCGAAACAAAATGCTGTGGTTGTTTCACGTCGGATTTCTGTGAGGCAGTGGTGTCACTCCGGTCGAGCGGACCCATTCGTGCCGAAGCATGGCTCTCCCACACTTAGTTCATTTAACTGTTTAGCTAGTACGATTCAAGAGGTTACAGCCTTAGTGATAAACAGACAGACGGAAGGACGGACAGCGGAGTCTTACTTAAAATATTACAGTTTTTCCCTTTGACGTTAACTTTTACCCATCATTTCCAAGATTTGTATTTTTTTGACCTTTGTATTTTTATAATTATTTTAGTTACTGATAAACCATTTTTTTCTTAACTTCAGCACACAACCAGAACGTCGTGATCCGATGTAGGGCGTGGGCCAAGAACATAATATACAACAAGAGTCTAAAGGAACCGTCCGGCTACACTCGTTTCCAGTTGTACATTGAAGGCAATGACAGTGGTAACAGCACTGAGGTTCATACATAAGCGGTAATGTATCGCGTGTTTAGCGATAGTGTAGTTTCGTTATTGTAATGGAACGAATAGTACTGCCGGTTAGGCTGGGTATACATAAACTGTTGTTAGAAGTAGAAAAAAAGTTGAGTTGTTTTAATATTGTGTAAGAGACAAAATGATCCAGGCCTAACCCCGTGTGATCTTCAAAATTTGACCCTGGAAAGGAATCGGTAACAATATGTAAGCACTATGAAATAGCACTGGTACCTACACAAACCCAATTGTAGATAAATTTTATTTAATGAATTCATTCTTAATTATTATTTATTCAATTCATCAGAGAGTATCTACAGAGCAAACACAATTAAAAAAAGAAATAACTCATAAAAGAGGTTATTTCAAAATTAAACCTTATTACTGTTACATTGTTTTTAAGATTCAAAAACCTTTCTTTTTTGAGTTAGACCTCTTTTCTTTTAAGCTTAGGTACAATATATTCACACGATGTTCTATTGTTTGAGAAGATTCCATAATGATGTGTTTAAACGATTAAAGGTTAGATAAAAATTAACTGCGTAATAATTATGATGCTGTCGCGTCAGAATGTTTGTATAAGACAGTGACAACAATAATTTTATTCCTCACATAACATTTATCTGACTATTGAAAAATCAACTCAGAGAGGTGCTATTATTCGTCCATTTCTACATTATTAAAATAACACCAAATAAACCTAATTATCTGAAACAAAAATGGAACCGTTTTAAAAAATAATAAAAGAAAATAAAAAAACTGTTCTTTTTTTGAAAGCGCACAACGGTTTCTTGCATACCCAGCCTTATAATAAGTAAATAGATCAATTTTCCGCGATGGTGAATCACCAAGTATCAACAGCATACTTAGATAGGTATAGCTTGTGATTTACACGCCTTGTGTATGTGTGCGGTCAACAAATGGATGGATGTGCAAACAGCTTAGTAGAACTACTTCATAATCCCCGTCTTTTGACGCATTTTCTGCGCCATCTTTATAAAGACGTAGATGAAATTAATATTTTGATGGAAGCACTATATTTATACTTCTGTGTATTATGTCTATTGTGATATCTCGCCTCTTATCCCTTAATGATGTGAGCAGAAGTGTAGGTACGTTTAGGACAAGTTTTCCTTAAGGTATCTATAACGCATACAGTTTTCTAGGCAAACATAAAAATTATTATAAAAATAAAAGCATAGGTAGGTAGGTACTTTCATTCATTGATTTGACGATATATATATAATTTACGATTTTTATATTATTATATCTTTAAAAAAATATTCAGTAATAAATATCTAAAAAGCATTATGACGTTATTTATTTGCAACATTCATCATTATTATAAAAGTATATATTTTGACATTTTGATAAAAGCATTGAATTTGACTATTTAGTTAAAAACTTTTGTATTCTTCATATCGACGCTAGAAAGACAACATGTATTAATTTTAAAAGAATTTGCTAAATCAATACATACATAGTATAAAACCAAGTCGCTTTTTCTGTCCCTTTACACTATGTATGCTGAAATCTTTAAAACTACGCGACGGAATTTGATGCGGCTGTTTTAATGGATAGAGTGATTGAAGAGGAAGGTTTATATGTATAATACCAAACCCGTGCGAAGCAAGGGCGCTAGTTTTAAGTTGTTTTCTTGTATCACTCTAACTATATTATATATAAATCTAACTCAAATTTGACCCAATAATATGTAAATACATTATGTATTTCTAGCGTCGATATTGTTACAAAAATATTAAAGGCGAAAAGGTTTAATGTGAAATAAATAATGTCTATTTTCTTGATTGAACAAATAATTTATTTATTTTACACATAATTGATTCTTATTGGTAGGAATAGTAATAAAGTTGACGGGCCGCCTGATAATAAATATGTCGGTCAATTACGCCTTAGTACAACCTGCAATAGTATTATGATGATAGATAGATGGACACAACTTTATGTATTTAGGTATATACACACTAACAAAACACAGGACATTACATACTTTATAATTATGCAATAAATATATTTTAAATTTATGTTTAACGGCTTACAAACGACTTTCGACGCGTCTTGAATCGCGCAATGTTGATAATAAATAAGGTTCCCCAGTAAGGCTTGAAACTAGTCGAGTTACTCACCGAACAGCTACGAGAGTAAGCCGTTAAACTCAAAATTTAATGTAATAATATGTCTCATGAAAGTTATAACAACAAATATTATTTTGTGGGCTATGTCCTTTCTTGTATCTTCTAAGTATACCAAAATTAATATTGCGATTAAATTATAATTAGAAGTCATTTGATGATCAAAAAGTCATAATCATTTATTTCAATTCAAACTTCGGTACTTTTGAGTCAAACAAAGCTTAAAGATAAAGTGTCAGTCTGTCGGTCAGTCCTCTAAGTGAAAAGCTATTTGCTCGTTCGAAATAAATTGTGTCCAAAAAAAACATTTAAAAAAAGAACAGTGTATTTTTTAGAGACATTGGCATTTGGCATATTAGATTTTATGGTTTTAATGAAGCCATAATTTTTATTGTAAACTTTTGTCGGCTCATAACCAAATAATGGCCACTGTATTTGTAGGGAACCAATATTTATTTTTTTCAAACGTGCATGTAAAATAATAATTTTTAAAACTGTATATTTAAGAGCTCTCTAAAAATTCTGAATGACGTAATAAGAGAGAAAATATTTTTGTTCGAAATTTGATTTCCTTATTTATAAATGTGACTAAGTTATGTACCAAAGATCCGCATTCGTAGGTTCGATTCCAGTGCGTTTATAGTCTGTATAATAAATAGTAGTGAGAGTATATTCATGCCTGTTTCGAGTACAAATCCTATTTATAAATATTCCAAGTTGTTGATTGTATAAATGTGAATTCAATTTTGAAATAAATATATCAAATTTTATTATTTTTTGTGTTTTCTTTTTTTTTCCTGAAAAAGTAAATATCCTCAATCGAAAAGCATTTACGAAGAAATTGATTAATTAATTTATTTTTAATTATTGGTTTATGGCATACTTCCCCTCCCCCAATCCCTAAATCTCCAAAACCCTATTTTCCAAGAGGTCTGCAACGAACTCGTACTCTATACTCCTCCGTTGTTCCGGAAGTCCATGGGCAGCGCTGATTGCTTACCTTCAAGTAATCCATCCGTCACATAAAAAAAACAAAACAAAACAATGCAAAACAGCTTTTCACAGACCTCTATGTAAGACGAAACTATAATAGTAAGTAGTAGTTTACATTATAGTCGAATCTTATCAAAATTGCGAGAAGATCAGGACCAACCGACTCTGCTCCACGCAGGAAGCAACGGGTCGTTTGCTTAATGGTTAAAATAAATTCTTATGATCATCATCAGCCTATAAGTGTGTACTGCTGAGCAAAGGCATTTTCTAATGCGGAGATGGGTTTGCGCATTAATATAATTACAAGTTTGAAATATTCAATTTTAAACTTGTAATTATAGAATTATAAATACGGCTTTACTCAAGAAGTCTTCCTACACAGCGGATTGGTCCTCCAATAACCTTATTGGAGGCGCAATCCTCCCCCTTCCCAATCCTTTAACATTCGAAACCGTAGTCCCCAAAAGGCTTACAACTCACTCGTAACTCCTTTGGTGTTACAGCTGTCCATGGGCGGTGCGATTGCTTGCTATCAGGAATCCGTTTGCTCGTTTGCAGACTTATCTCATTAAAAAGTAGGTTTATTTAAAAAAAACGTTGTGGTTGTTTCATGCCGGTTTTCTGTGATGCCGCAGTATCAGTCCGCTCGCTCTGACCTATTCGTGCCCAAGCATACATACAGCTCTCCTACACTTACACTTATATAGGTACAGCACAATACTTATATTTAAGAGTTGTATTTCGCCGTGTGAGTGAGGTTACCGGAGGCCCAATCTTTCCCCTACCCCAATCCGTTCCCTGTCCCAAAATCTCCAAATCCCTAATCCCTAAAGGTCGACAACGCACTCGTAACTCCTGCGTCGTTGCGGGTGTCCATGAGCGACGCTGATTGCTTACCATCAGGTAATCCGTTTGCTCGTTTGCCGACCAATCACATAAAAAAAATAAAACATACCTCAGTCCTTTTTAATTACTTATTCTAGAATTCAAGCACCTGTTGCTACGGCTAGATATAAGTCGACGAGCACTTAGAACATTAGTTTGTTCAGGGCTTGGTCGCGAGGGGCGCTGGGGCGGCGGGCGTTGGGCGGGCGGTCCGCCGGTTACAGGCAGATTTCGGCGGCAACATCGTGTCAAAGAGTAGGTGACATTCAGAGAGGTCTGTTTGGACAGCTATACATGTTATTGTTTAGAAATAATAGATCGGTTAATGTTTTTTGTAATAAATAAGAGACTCTTTTTGTATTAATAACAAGATTAAAATTTAAATATTACCTAGTTAGGCCACGACGGCAGTGTGTTCTGCTTGGGCTGAGCTCTACAGTGTTCTTAGGTTATTTTGTTTAAAGTGGTTTTAAAGAAATAAAGTTAGGTAAAGCTTTTGTTCTGAATTCTGAAAACTGAATAACCTAATCGGAATTTCAAATACAAATAGGTACAATCCAATTCACAATATAACGCACTAGATCCAAAATAGAAAGCAAAGAAAGTTCTTGTATCCAATATGCAAAGATAAAAATTAATTTCATTTCTAAAACAACTCACAAACAATTATCATACTATACTAAGTCCATAGTAACAGCAAAATCCTCGCAGAGTCAATCCAGAAATAGGCACAAAACTCATACCAATCTGTTTACCTCATTCCGGTTACTTACCGGCAGTCTTCACCCACCGAGCCGCCACGATGGGCGCCGACAAACCGAATGGCGTGGTCAACTACTGCCGAAGACCAGTCCAGAGACCCTTCCTCCAAAGAATCCGGTATGCAATCTGGAATCCCGAAGAAAGAACGTTCCTGGGTAGAACTCCTCATCGATGGGGTGAGTTTTAAAAATAGACAAAAATGATAATTTTTAAATGTAACGTTTTCTTTATCTTAGTTTGAAACTAAGATAAAGAAAACGTCAGCTGTTCGAATAGTTGAATTTGGAATTAGGTGCTTCGTTTTGTCAGTTGGAGCGTTTTTTTTTAATAACGAATTTTCATAGCTGCGGTTTAAATTTGGAATTCGGTGTTTAATTCTTTTACTTATATAATTAAAAAAAATGAGATTCTTTTTAAAGTGAATATCTGATAGGAGAAAATCTTAGTTTACGTAATTATTTATCCCTTTTTCAACTTCTTATGCTTTGATATATTACAAGGCTACTCTTGATAATTAGAGCCTGTTTCACCACCTTGATATACTTATGTGGCACATTGTTTTAATAAATTTTTATCATGCACTTAGTGCTATTCGGACATAATGAAGTAAGCTGCACGTGCGGCGCGGTGGCTGGGCAACTGGCTGCTGTGCAACATGTCGCGGGTTCGATTCCCGCACGGAACAACACTTTGTGTGATCCACAAATTGTTGTTCCGGGTCTGGGTGTGTTGTGTATGTGAAATTGTATGTTTGTAAACGCACCCACAACACAGGAGAAGATACTAAAGTGGGGCAACGTTTTAATTAAAAAAAAAGCTTCTAATGTGTGACGTTTAAGAAATTACGCTACTATACACAAAGTGTAAAAAATTTAGTTCAAATTAATTAACAGTTGTAGTTTATTTGTTTTATCGTATTACATTGAACACGTGTATCGTATCATTTAGATAAAGAGTTCAATAAGTAAGTAACGTGGTTAAACAGTAGCAAATTAGTTTTGTATACGAACTAGACAATCTCAAGGCAAACTTAAGAGTGTTGTGAACACGTTTTTGTACTAATAAAATGAATTTTTTTAACTGCAAGATGGTGCTTGTTGATGTCTTTTTCATGGGGATCAAACTCACGATTTCTCTAAAATACTTTTGGCAACTTGCTGTGGTGGTAGTCTTTTTTTGTTTCTTAGGAGTTATATTTGTCAAATGACTTGGACACAAACCTTCAAGAAATGAATCACTACGAGCGTAGTCTTTTTTTAAAGGAGCCTGTTACTCCTCTGGTCTGTAGTGTCCATGGGTGGCGCTGATCACTTACCATCAGGTGACTTGGTTGCTTGTTGGCCTCCTATTCCATTAAAAATGGTCGACGTACAAAGTCAAACATTCATGAGTAAATTTTGCTCAACATTACTGTCTTTTTTTTTGTGAGGAGAAAATCATCAAATGACTTTTCTCGGCGAGGGCGAGAGGAAGTGTCAGACTTTTACTAACTAAGCACCCCCTCCATTCCTTCTCCGGGTCTGGGCCGAGATCGTGGTGCCTTATTGCGCTTGCCCCACGACTCCGGTTGATTGCCTTTTAAGTTTTGATCTGAGAAAGATGCACTGTTATAATTTTTACATGTCCCAGTAACCCCTGTTACACACGCGTGAGAAAATCGCTATCAATCATATAAACGGGTAACATTCCAGACTCCGTACGAATAACTGAGAATTTGTAGGAATAGACTCGAATCCACGGCGGTTTTGTAAGCATTCGTAGGTACTTGTATCCACTTGATATATGCACTACTTGATATACTATATATCAGTGAATAAAAACGAAAAAGGAGTGTTTGCTTCTTCGCCGTTCGAATACCTGGTAGGTATTCAGTTACTATTCCAACGGCGAATGGTAAGTTTCTTTTTTCTTTTGTTTTTGAGGGATGAAAATCATTCTCCCGCCTTGTGTGGGGCGAGAGGGAGTGACATTATTACTGACTAAAGCCCATTCCCATTCTTTCTCTAGCTACGCAACCAGGGCCATAGTTAGCCTAGATGTGGTCTGTTTTGTGCTTGTTTTTGTATGAGATAAGTCGGCAAACGAGCAGGCAGATCACCTGATGATTTAAGCAATCGGTGGTGCCCATGGCCACCCGTAACACCAAAGGAGTTATGTGGATATGTATTGGGGATAAGTATTTCGGATATTTAAGGATCTATTGTAAAGGGATGGGGGAGGTATTGGGCCTCTGGTGACCTCACTCACACGACGAAACACTATGCAGCGGTTTCACGCCCGTTTTCTGAGAGGCTGTGGTATCACTCCTGTCGAGCCGCTCCATTCGTGCCGAAGCTTGGCTCTCTCACACTTCTCAAAGAATGTCATGTGGAGTTTAATAACCTTTCTAAGATACACTTCTACCTATCACTTTGGGAGATAACTGGCGCTATGCAAACTAAATGTAAATATATGTGTATATAGTTTTTATATTGTAAGATAAACATTGGTCAAGGATTCGATTCCCAGCGTCTGACCATAAATCTAATAGCGACATGTTTATGTTGCATTTGCCCTATTTTTTGCTTGGCTTTTAATAATAAACTCTTTTTTATATAAAGTATTAATATTTAAACAGAATGTTGCTCATTTAGTTCTTTAAGGGTAGCGAAATAAGTGCCTATACGTAGTACTAGACCATACTAGACTTTAGGTATTTTTTGTCAGGGGAAAATCATCAAATATCTTCTCCCGCCCAGGGTAAGGCGAGAGAGCGTGTTTGAGAGACTCTAACTGACTAAAAACCCCCCCGTTCCTTCTCTTGTTTTGAGCCGAGGCCGCGGCAGCGGTGCCACATTGCGCATACCTCGCAACCCCCGCTGAACCGCCCTGTGGGGCCCCGTTTGTGGTGGTCTATTGACTCTTTGATTGACTCTTTATTAGGGTTTTTGCAGCATCTAGCCAACTGATAGGTCAATATCCACGAAGTCCTTTCCCGTCAACCCGAAAATCTTAAAACCTCCTTTTTTATGTAATATGTCGGCAAACGGGCAGACGGATTAACTGATGGTAAGCAATCATCGCCGCTCATGGATACCCGCACCGGAGGAGTTACGAGTGCGTTCCCGACCTTTTAGGGATTAGGGATTAGGAGATTTAGGGATTGAGGAGGGATTGGGGGAGGGGAAGGACAACGCTGTGGTTGTTAGTTGAGTTGTAGACATTTTCTCAGTTAATTCACGCGAAATATACGTTTAATTGATCTATGTCCACCCCCCTTTTTTAGACAAACTGTTACCCCACACTGGGACTTTCTCCTTTTCTTTATGTCGGTGGTGCGTTTACAAACACACAATTTCATATGCACAAGCCACCCAGACTCGAAACAAAAATTTTTGGATAGCATAAAGTATTGTTCCGTCCGGGAATCGAACCCGCGACATGTTGCAATTCAGCTACTGCGCCAAGGTCTTGTAGGATAAAAGGCGAAATTTTAAATTTCATTTTTAAAACACGCGTGTAATACGTGTATGTGAGTGAATGAGTGAGTGAACGCAATTGTGAGCAATTTCAATGAATCATGTTCCCGATTTATTTTCGATTTTATCCCCATCATAACTGACCAGTTTTCAGCACGTGAAAACTGAAATTACTTACACTTGTATTTGTTGGTAGCTGAAACAATTTTTATATATTTAGAGAGGAATTTACTATAACTTATCATTTAAATCAATGAAAGGACCTCAAAGTACTGTTTATTTGGGAGGCGTACGAGGGCCCAAATCAAACTGCGTACAGGTCCTTTCTGTCAATTTTAGTCAGCCCCAGCTTCGCATGAGTGCAATAATTATCATCATCATCAGTCGGCAGATGTCCACTGCTGAACAAAGGCATCCCTCTTAGTCCTCCATTCAAGTCATTTGCATCCATTGGCTCCCCACGATTCCACTATTTTATGGATGTTATTATACATATAAACCATCCACATCCATCGTTATACCTATTAAAATAAAACCGCATCAAAGTCCCAACACTACAAAGAAACTAAATAATTAAGTAATTAAAAAAATCCTTAAATCTGACACATTTAATAAAGCGCCCAAGGATGTCTCATACCTTTTCACTAGAAAAATGCCTTTCTGGATTTTATTAAAAAAAGAAGTCATGCCGGAATTATTCGAACTAAATCATTGTAGCACTGTACCAAAAGTATTGGGCCTCCGGTGACCCCACTCACACGACGAAACACAACGCTGTAGTTGTTTCACGCCGGTTTCCTGTGAGGCCGTGGTATCACTTCGGTCGAGCCGACCCATTAGCGCCGAAGCTTAATGCTCACACACTAAAATTTTATTACATGGCAAGGGAAAAGTATTCATATTAACGTAGGAATTAATGCATTGGGCTCTCTTTCTATCTTTAAGGGAAATGAAATCTGTTATAGGATAGAGTTGCTTGCTCGTTCTTGGAGTTTCTTGCTCGTTCTTGTCCATTCGAATCTACAATTTGGAATGAGCACCTAGCTTCACTGAAGAACAAGACTGACAGACTACTATTCTATTTTGAAGTTTCAAAAGTACCTATTTAGGGTTTAGTTGGAATAAATGATTTTGACTTTGACTTTGACTATACCATAAGCCTATATTAAATGCATAAAAGTCAAATAGCACAGTTGAGGTAGTGGCAGATCAACCAGCTGCTGCGAAAACCGAAACACCTCCTTGTGTGATCCACAAATTGTTGTTCTAGGTTTGGGTGTGCTGTGTATGTGACATTGTATGTTTGTAAACGCACCGACCCACACACGAACAAGAGACAAAATCCTAAGGCAGTATTGAAAAAAAGAACAAGGAAAAAAGAATGCATTTGAAAAAAAAAACCACCAATTTAAATTGAGTACAAAATCGACCAATAACAAAAGCCTATTTTTAGTGTAGATGAGATTATTGGTTAGTTATTGGTTCTATTTCACACTAGGCGCGTCTTAACATCAATCGTCGGTAGTATTGCATGACCGCGTCACGTCGTAAACTTATCCGCAAATAGGAGTCGGCCTCGGCAACAAAATACATATGTATACAGACCGGTTTACACTGGTATTTACTTGTGGATATTGGTATTTTTATACTCATACTGCAAGCTAGGTTAAGGGTAAACCATGGTGCGAATTGATTATGATGTTAAATGAGTGGTTTGG